CACATGCATATGAGACGATTGAAAACACCATGGCTTTGGTCTTCAAGGTGACATCTTTGCTTTTTAAAACTTTAAAGAGGTCTTTTGCAGCAGATTTTCCCAATGCAATGCATCATTTGATTTCTAATGGATATTTGCAGCTCTTTCTTCTCATTTTGAGTCATTCCACATCAGCAAATGAAGGTTCAGAAAGCTTGACTACATCCACGTCATTAAGGTCGACTCTACTTTGAGGAGGCAGCTCTTCCCCAATCATATTTTGAGTGCCTTCCAACCTGACGGGCTCATCTTCCGGCACTATATCAGACACTATTCCACTGCTATTCATAAGGTTTTCACTGGCTAATTCTTTTCAGAACTAGACCACCAGGTCCTTCTTCCTAGTCTGTCTTAGTCTGGAAGTTCAGCTGAAACCTGTCTGCCATGGTGACAGTGCTAGTGTATGAATACTGGTGGCATAGCTTGCAGCATCACAGCAGCATGCAAGCCCCCACAGTACGACAAACTGACAGACTTGTGGGCAAGATATATGTATATACATACATATATATATATATATATGTTTGTTGTTGTTGTTAGATGCTGTCAAGTAGGTTCCAATTCACAACAACCCTATAGGACACAGTAGAACTGTCTCACAGGGTTTCCAAGGAGTGGCTGGTGGATTCGAACTGCCAACCTTTTGGTAAGCAGCTGAGCTCTTAACCACTATGCCACCAGGGTTCCTATATATATATGCATGTATATTTATGAGGAAGGAAGAAGTCTAAGCTGCACTGAAGGCACTGGCAAAAAACAAGTCTCCAGGAATTGACTGAATACTAAATTTGAGACGTATCAACACAATGAAATACTGGAGGCGCTCATTCTCTATGTCAAGAAATTTGGAAGACAGCTGCTGGCCGACCGACTGGAAGAGATCCATATTTGTGCCTATTCCAAAGAAAGGTGATCAAACAGAATGTGGAAATTATTGAACAAAATCATTGATATCACACACTAGTAAAATTTTGCTGAAGATAATTCAAAAATGGTTGGAGTAGTCGTAGTAGACAAGGAACTGCCAGAAATTCAAACTGGATTCAGAAGAGGGTGTGGAACGACAGATATCATTGCTAATGTCAGATGGATCTTGGCTGAAAGCAGAGATTACCAGAAAGAAGTTTACCTATGCTTTATTGACTATGTAAAGGCATTCGACTGTGTGGATCAAAGCAAATTATGGATAATATTGCAAAGAATGGGAATTCCAGAACACTTAATTGTGCTCATGCAGAACCTGTACATAGACCAAGAGACAGTTGTTGGAACAGAACAAGGGGATACTACTTGGTTTAAAGTCATGCAGTATCAGGGTTATATCCTTTCACCATATTTATTCAATCTGCTTGCTGAGCAAATAATCCTAGAAGCTGGACGATATGAATAAGAACAGGGCATCAGGTTTGGAGGAAGACTCATTAACAACCTCCATTAAACCTTGCTTGCTGAAAGGGAATAGAATTTGAAGCACTTACTGATGATGATCAAGGACTACAATCTTCAGTATGGATTGTACCTCAACATAAAGAAAACAAAAATCCTCACAAATGGACCAATAAGCAACATCATGATAAACAGAGAAAAGATTGAAGTTGTCAAGGATTTCACTTTACTTGGATCCACTATCAACGCCCATGGAAGCAGCAGTCAAGAAATCAAACAAGGTATTGCATTGGGCAAATCTGCTGCAAAAGACCTCTTTAAAGAGTTAAAAAGCAAACATGTCACTTTGAGGACTAACGTGCACCTGACTCAATCCATGATGTTTTCAATAACCTCATATAAATGTGAAAGATGGACAATGAATAAGGAAGTCTAAAGAAGAATTGATGCCTTTGAATTATGGTATTGGTGAAGAATATTGAATATACCACGGACTACCAAAAGAATGAACACATCTGTCCTGGAAGAAGTACAGCCAGAAAACTCTTTAGAAGCGAGGATGGTGAGACTTTATCTCATGCTTTGGACATGTTATCAGGAGGGATTAGTCCCTGGAGAAGGGCATTATTCCTGGTAAAGTAGAGGCTCATCGAAAATGAGAAAGATCCTCAATGAGATGGATTGACGCAGTGGCTGCACCAATGAGCTCAAACATAGCAAGGATTGTTAGGATGGTGCAGGACTAGGTAGTGTTTTGTTCTGTTGTACATAGGTAAAAAATTAATCCCTAGGGAGGAAGAGGTCACTCCACAAAATTAGCTTTTATCTCTATACTAAAGCTGAGACTTTCTGGTTGCCTGAATCTCTACGGTCGGCCAAACCCTGTTTCCAGAGGAAGCTGGGGAAGGAGTGTATGTGACTTGGGAAGCGGCTGGGGCCCCAAAGCAGAAGGGCCCTGTGCCGTTCCCATTCCACCTGGAAGTCTGGAGATCTGTGGTCTCATCCATGACCTTCCATCATCAGGGCATGAGGATGACTACAAGAGGCTCAGAATATGTGAGAGCCTTCTGTCTGGCCCAGCGCTTCCATGGCTCAGAGCAGTTTGGGAGAGCTGTCAACCTTCCCTCCTGCCCATGAGAAGACCTGGATGCTAGAAAGAGAGGGAGCTGGAGGGGCTTCACAGTGGGAAGTGGGGAGGGGGGCTGCGGTAGAGTATGTGGAGGGAAGCCCCAATAGTGGATTGAATGAGGTGGTCCCTTGCCAGAGAAGAGGGGGCCATGCCAAGGCCAGACCGGATAAGAGGCCCCTCAATGGATGCCAGCAGGGGACTGAAAAAGACAGAGGCGGGAAGTGGTCATCCCCTCCTGCAGAGACTGTGATGGCATTTGCATAAATGCATTCCCAATCCCCACCCTCAACCTAGCAAAGACCCCAGTGCGAAGGACGGAAAGAGAGTGGGACAATCTTAAATGCAACTGAGTTTAAACCTGAAGTGTCTGAGGAATCAGTAACCTAGAGGTTAATAGAATAAATTTCCTGCCAACAATATAGAAAGTAAAGCCAGCTGTAGCAAAATGATGAAAATTACATTTGGCACATTTGAGTTGAGGGCCATAAAATGGGTACCTGCTACCCAAGTTGGTAAGTTATGAGGTCCCCCCCTTTGCTTGTTAATGGTTCTTGTCCCCTCAGACCCCATCCCTTCCTTTCATCCAGAGTCACCCAGAGATCAGGTGTCAATATGGCACTCACGGGCTCAGTGCTTTGCACGTCTATGTTTGTAAAGCGCGTTCACGTCCACCAGCTTGCCGGGGATTCACAATTGCCCTGTGACCTGGGTGGGCAAGGACAACTCAAGTCATTCACTAGGGAAGAAAACCAAGACTCCAAGAGGTTGTCCAAAATCACACACAGGCTGGTGGCAGAGTGCACATGTAGCACCTGTGGCCGTAGCCCTGAGTCCTCACGGCTCTGCCTGGTGGAGCTGAGCTGCCCTGGCAGAGCAGACGGCTGGGACAAGGGAGGAAGCTGAGGGGCTGCAGCCTGTGGTTCTGACGTACTGAGTGCCTGGAGACGTTCTCATCCATTTCCCACCCGTTTCTCACCCCCCTACCTTCAATTTACACAGGAGGAAGCTGAGGCCCAGAGAGATCAAATGGTGAGATTACACAGCACATTAGAGGGAGTGCAGTACTGAGACCCAGGCTTCCTGGTTCCTGGTCCAATTCTTGGGTGGATCATGGCCAAGGTAGATTGCAGAGGCTCTGGGGTTTGGGGCAGATTCCTAGAACGTCTAACTTATACATAGAGGTCAGTCCAGATGGCGCAGCTCAGGGGAGCAGGCCCTGTCCTCCCCAAGGAAGGGAGGTCTCAGAGACCCTCACACAAGGAAAGTGCAGCTGACACCTCCCTGGGAGCAGGGGTTGATTCATTCCTGGGCTTGAATTCAAGCAGCCACTTTCCTGGTGAAATCTGGGAATAACAATACTATTCCCCAGTGGGTCCAGCACCTGCACATGGCAAATTACTTTCCCCTCCTTTCAGAGTCTTCAGGTTGCTCTGGGAGGCAGGGTGGGCAGGTGGGAAAACTGATGGCTCCCTTTCACAGATGGGAAAACTAAGGCTCAGACAAGAAATGTGATTTGCCCAAGTTCTCACTGCAAGGAGACAGCAGAATTGAGCTAAACCCCAGGACTTCCAGGGCAGAGTGAGGTTGCCCTTCCAGCAAGGCCCTCACAAATGTCCTGGGTAGATAAACTCTGGAAAAAGCTTACTGTCTCACTGTTCATGCATACTGAATATGACAACATCCCTTCCCAACCTGGCAGAATAACCAAAGGCACCAAAATTGGTTTAAATTTTTAAAATTTATTTTCTGTGTTTCTCTTCCACTCTGGGATGTTCCCATCAAAGCCATAAAGAATATGTTAGAAATGGGTCAACTGCAAGGTCATTGAGCAAGTGGTCTGCTTGCAAGGGAAGGTCAGCATCATCCCGTCGACCAACCTAGACTGAGTCCCCGGGGTCAGGACCTGAGTTGTTCATCTCTATATCCAGTTGCATTTATGGAGTGGTCAGTAGGTGCTCAATAAATGTGTCATGGATGAATGAATGAATGAATGAATGAATGAACACCTCCCTTGGCCTCTATGCCTCTGTTCTCGCCATGGTTCAGCTCAAAAAAGTTAGGATCAGAAGTGTCCTCAGAAGTCATCTTGTCAAGCTCTCTCCTGTTACAGATGAGGTGCAGAGAGGGCAAGTGACTGGCTGGAGGTCATACAGGGAGTTCAAGGAGGCACAGGTACAAGAGGATGATGTCCCCGTTCCAGAGCTCATTCTGGGACCTCATGCAGCCTCTGTCTTCTGAGCCAGGAGGGCAACTCTGGCCAGGAGAGACAAGAGCTCTTCCTTAACGTTCACCCGTTGCTGCTGAGTCTGGGGCAACCCTTCAAGATGGCATCCTGGGATATAGCAGACTCTGGAGTGTGAGACTGAGTTCCCCAGCAGCCTGGGCACACCTGCCACCCAGCTTCATCTGGAGAGGAGTGGCTCTTTGGGGAGAGGATGTCCAGTTCCTATGTTGAAGTGGCACAGGTGCTGCTCCACCTGGGGTTCGGAGGTGGAAAGAGGCGGAGTGCAGGAACGAAGGCCTGCTGCAGGAGAGGGCCCGGGAGCGGCTGCATCTCCCATGGGGGGCATGGGAGGAAGGTGACTCCAGCAGGAAACCAGGCAGTGGCCAGCTGGCTTTGAGCAAGTGGATAGCAACCTGTGGGTGGAGCCAGCCCAGGCAGAGCTGCAGGCGTCTGAAGGGGGCCCTGTTACAACAAGAGGGCAGGAGAGAGAGGTGAGTCCTCAGCTTCGCCCTGGGCTGTGCTTGAAGCTTCCTGGCTTCTCTCCCATGGCTTGGGCAGCTCAGGGGGGGCCTGATTTGCCCAGATTTTCCTGGGTTTAGCACTGAAAGCCTGTGCAAACCTATGCAAACCTGGACAGTTCGTCACTACTGCCCATGACTGGGGGCCAGGAAATCTGGTTCTAATCTCAGCACTTAAAGCAGCTGTTTCCATGGAATAGTCGCTTTGCACCTCAGGGCGCAGTTTCTGCCTTATTAAAAATGGATAATTAAAAAATTCTACCTTATAGGGTCACTGTGTGTATATAGAAAGGTCCTTGGGTGGTGCAAACGGTTTGTGCTTGGCTATTAACCTAGAGGTTAGTGGTTCAAACCTACCAAGTGGCACCTCAGAAGAAAGCCCTGGCAATCTGCTCCCATAAAGATTGTTGTTGTGGTTGATTTTGACTCATGGCAACTCCATGTGTGCATACCCTCCCTGCGCCATAGGGTTTTCAAGGCTGTGATCTTTCAGAAGCAGATCGTCATGCTGTCCTCTGAAGCACCTCTGGGTGGGTTCAAACTGCCAACATTTTGACTAGTACTTGAGCGCTTAACTGTCGCACCACCCAGGGACTCCTCTGTAAAGATTACAGCCCATAAAACTCTATGGAGCAGTTCTACTCTGTGACACATGGGGTTGTCATGAGCTCGGTTTCATTTCGGTTTTTGTGGGTATCTAGAAACCTTCAATGCTAGATATATAGCCAATAGTAAGAGAGTGTTGGTTCCTGTGGGCAGGGTTGTTTGTCTCGTTTACTGCTGTATCCACAGTGGTTAGCACTGGGTTGTTGTTGTTGTTATTAGCTGCCGTGAAGTTGACTTATGGCGACCCCAAGCACAACAGAACAAAATGCTGCCCAGTCCTGTGCCATTCCCATGATCAGTTTAGCATCAGACCATCGTGATCTACAGAACTTTCACTATCTAATTTTCAGAAGTAGATCGCCAGGCCTTTCTTCCTAGTCTTTCTTACTCTCCGAGCTCCACTGAAACGTGTTCAGCATCATAGTACCATGTAAGCCTCCACTGACAGATGGGTAGTGGCTCCACATGAGCTGGGTTGGCCAGGAATCGAATCCAGGTCTCTTTCCTGGAAGGTGAGAATTCTGCCACTGAACCATCAATGCTCCCTTAGCACCTGGTACTTACTAAAAAACATGTGTTAACCCAATGGACAGCTAATATTTACAGGGCGCTTCCGAGGTGCCAAGCATACTTCATATCTCATTCATTTCTTCTTCATCAAAGCTCTATTACTATCCCCTAAGAGGCAAAGTGACCCTTCCACAGCCACCTCACTGCTACATGAACCCGGACAGTCTGACCCCAGAGCTGGTGTACTCAACCGCCACACACTGAGCTTTACTCTGTGACCTTGTTTTAGAAACTTTGAAGCTTTGCACACTTAGTACAAACCACTCCCTGGAGGAGCGACAGGCACTGTGATTGCCACCCAGTGGATGAGAACATGGCAGCAGACAGATGCCAATAACCTGTCCCAGGTCCCACAGACTTCCAGACCTCTCTGCGTCCCCTACTCTTTCTAAAATAATTTCCCTTTCACTTTTTACTGTAGACAGGGCCCCTGCCTCCCATCTGGGTCTGGATGGGATGTTCCCAGACCATGGCTCCCCCTCACCCCCTCCCTTGATGCCTCAGCCGCTCACAGCCACGTCCAGTTTTGTCCCTGCGGTGAAGTCGGCCTCACTCAGCTGCTGCGGAGCACTGAGGCTGCCCATCTTCTCCTGCTTCCGCCACTTGGCTCGCTGATTCTGGAACCAGATCTGGGGTGGAGTAGAGAGAAGATGGAGATAAGAGTAAAAGTTTTCATCCATCGGTTGTTGTTGTTGTTAGGTGCCGTCAAGTTGGTTCTGACTGATAGTGACCCTATAGGACAGAGTAGAACTGCCCCACAGGGTTTCCAAGCAGCGGCTGGTGGATTCGAACTGCTGACCTTTTGGTTAGCAGCTGAGCTCTTAACCACCACGTCATCAGGGTTCCCTTATCCATCTAGTAACCAGTTAACCAGTTGCTGTCAAGTTGACTCTAACTCATGGTGTCCCTGCGTGTGTCAGAGAACTGTGCTCCATAGGGTTTTCTGTGGCTGATTTTTTTGAAGTTGACCATCAGGCGTTTCTTCTGAGGCATCTCTGGATGGATGCAAATCTCCAGTCTTTTGGGTAGCAGCGGGGCACTTGACCGTTTGTACCACGAAGGGACTCTATTTAGTACCTACCACAAATGCATAATAATGACATCTTGCAAGGGACCAGCACTTTACAGTTTATAAAGCACGAGGGCATCTGGGATTTCCTTAGATCTGGAGGTCTGTCTCCTGAGAGGGGACTAGGTGTCACAACCTTCAATGCCTCCAGGGCCACGGGGGACATACATGAGAGAAACAGATGGTGCCAGGTAACTGGGAGTGGTGGGGTCTGTGCTGAACCACATTATGTGGGCCCAGTGTTTTGTTGTTAGTGGCTGTCATGGATTGATTATGTCCCCCCAAAAATGTGTGTATCAGTTTGGCTGGACCATGATTCCCATTATTGTGTGGTTGTCCTCCATTTTGTGATTGTAATTCTATGTTAAAGAGGATTAGGGTGAGATTGCAACATCCTTACTAAGTCACAACCCTGATTCAATGTAAAGGGAGTTTCCCTGGGGTGTGGTCTGCATCACCTTTTATCTTACAAGAGATAAAAGCAAAGGGAAGCAAGCAGAGAGAGGGGACCTCATACCACCAAGAAAGCAGTGCCAGGAGCAGAGTGCATCCTTTGGACCCTGGGTTCCTGTGCGGAGAAGCTCCTAGTCCAGGGGCAGATAGATGAGAAGGACCTTCCTCCAGAGCTGACAGAGAGAGAAAGCCTTCCCTTGGAGCTGATTTCCTGAATTTGGACTTCTAGCTTACTGGACTGTGAGAAAATAAATTTCTCTTTGTTAAAGTCATCCACTTGTGGTATTTCTGTTTGTAGCAGCAGTAGATGACTAAGACAGCGGCTGTCAAGTTGGCCCCGATTCATGGCGAACCCAGTTACAACAGAGCAAAATGTTACGTGCTCCTGTGCCATCCTCATGATCAGTGGCAGATAGGACTGTTTTGATCCATAGGGTTTTCTTTGGCTGATTTCTTTTCTTTTTTTTTTTAACATTTTATTGTGTTTTAGGTGAAAGTTTACACAGCAAATTAGTTTCCCACTCAATAGTTTGTACACAGATTGTTCTGTGGCATTGGTTGCTTTTCCCGCAATGTGTCAGCACTCTCCCCATTTCTACCCTTTCTTCCCTCATTCCATCCATCCATTTTCCCTGCCCCTCCTTGCCTTCTCATCTTTGCTTTTGGGCATATGTTGCCCATTTCGTCTCGTATAGTCGATTGTTCTAAGAACACATTCCTCTTGGGTGTTATTGTTTATTTGATAGGCCAATCTGTAATTGGGCTGAAAGGCGACCTCCAGGATCATTGGCTGATTTTTGGAAGTAGCATGCCAGGCTTTTCTTCCTGGTTTATCTTAGTCTGGAAGCTCCACTGAAACCTGCTCAGCATCACAGCAACACATAAGACTCCACTGAGAGATAGGTGGTAGCTGCCCATACAGGTGCATTGGTCAGTGTTTTAGGTTCATTCAGTTTCCAAGCTGGGAATCTTGTGCTTTATGTGAGAGTTCCTGAATTTTAAAACAATGTGCAAGTCATAAAAAAACCCATTTGTGGGGTGATCCAGCTGACAGGCCACCCATTTGCAGTCCTTGTGGGGTGCCCTTGGCACCTGTAGGTTTAACATTTGCACTTCCCAATGTTCATGAATGCCCTGATGGTCCTAGCATGTGGCCAACTGCACTTGGTGATTCTGTTCAGGTAGGAGTGGAATTCTGGGCTTTACTGCGGATGCACGTGCTGCCCACTTAGCTGGTGTCTGACTCCAAGTGGGGGGGGGGGAAGGGGGAGAAGTCTAAGGCAAGGGTGGTCCTTAACCAGAAGGAAAGCAGGGTGGGACAAAAGGAAGAGTGTGATGTTGACCTGGGCCTTGGGTCAGATTTTGAATTTCATTGAGTCCATCACCTATTTGTTAAAAAAAGAAAAAAAAGCAAAAAAGAGTGGCTTAGAAAACTGCTTTAGAGAACATTCCAACAGTGAATAAGTTGAATTTGGTGGTGGAACTTCCTGTGCCAAAGTGGTACTTGGAAAATTGGCGATGTACGAAGAGGGCAGGACACATCCCTGGTGAGTCATAAGGGACCAATGAACTTCCAGCCATGGAGAAAGCAAGAGAGACTCTGGGGTGAAAGGATTATGTAGGCAGTTGGTGCTTAAACCAGATCTCTGACCATAGCTCTGGGCCCTTCTCACTTCCTTGTGCTCCCTCCAAAGTGCTGCCCACATGTTCTAGATCAGGAATCGGTAAACTACAGCCTACGGGCCAAGTGGGGCCCACTGCCTTGTTTTGAACAGCCCGTGAGCTAAGAATGATTTTCACGTTTTTATAATGGTTAAGAAAAAGTCAAAAGAAGGCTAATATTTTGTGGCACACGAAAATTACCCCAAATTCACATTTCAGTGTCTATAAATAAAGTTTTATTGGAACACCGCCATGCTCACTTGTTTACACATCTATGGCTACTTTTGTGCCACAACGAAAGAGTTGAATAGTTATGACAGTGATCACATGCCCTACAAAGCCTAAAGGAATTACTTTCTGGCCCTTTATAGAAAAAGCCTGTTGACTTTTTGTGTGCTGTAGATTGTCAAGACCTGCTTTGTGAATGAGGCTGGATGGTGAATGATTTTCTGGAACTGTATAACCAAGTAGAGTCCCTGGGTGGTGCAAAACAGTCAAGTGCTCAGCTACTGACAGAAAGGTTGGAGGTTTGAATTCCAGGAATTTATGGCCTGCTGGTCTGCTTCTAAAAGGTCACAGCCTTGAAAACCCTAAGGAGCGCAGTTCTACTCTGAAACACACGGGGTTGCCATGAATTGAAATTGACTAGACGGCAACTGTGTTATTTATTTATTTATTTGTGGGAAGGGTTTAACCAAGAAGAGAGGAAGGGCATGGAAGCAGAGATAGATGGCGATTGTTTGGTGCCACCTCACTCCATTTCCAGCACCAATGGAGGGCAACGATCTTATAACTATGGTGACCTCATCTTCTGGAAAATAATATTTGGCAAATATGACTCCACTTAAGGGATAAAGCCAATAGAAAATTTCAGATGAAGACAGCCCTGGAAAATCCAGGATACAGGTTGTCTCATCTGCAGCCACAAGTAGGGGCTGAAGGTGGGGGTGGCTGTACCTGAACTCGAGCTTCTGGGAGGTTGATCTTGGCTGCCAGCTGGTTGCGAACACGGATGTCTGGGTAGTGGGTGAAACGGAAGATCTTCTCCAACTCATGCAGCTGCTCCGTGGTGAAGGTGGTGCGAACCCTCCGCTTGCTCTTCCTCTGCTCTGCGTGGGAGAGGGTTGGGTCAGTAGTCTTGGAGTTAGCACCTCACTTAGGCTTCCGTGTTGCTTTGTTCCTCTCTTTCAACCCTTGCTGTTACTACCTTGAGTCTTGGACCCTGGCTCCTCTTGCTTGTTATTTTATAATATTCACTTTTCTAGAATTCTCTGCCTCTAGGCAGAGTTCACAGAAGCTCTGGTGGAGCAGTGGTTAAGAGATCAGCTGCTAACCAGAAGGTTGGCAGTTCAAATCCGCCAGCCTCTCCTTGGAAACCCTATGGAAACCCTAGTGGCGTAGTGGTTAAGTGCTACAGCTGCTAACCAAAAGGCAGGCAGTTTGAATCCACCAGGTGCTCCTTGGAAACTCTATGGGGCAGTTCTACTCTGTCCTATAGTGTCGCTATGAGTTGGAATCGACTCGAAGCACTGGGTTTCGTTTTAGGCAGAGTTCGGAATCGACTCCAGGGCAACCACCACCACCACCAACAGATTGGCTATTCAAATGAAGCTATCTCTTAGGGATTAAATGGTGTCCCCCTAAAAGCTAATTGAAGTCTTAACCCCTGTACCCGTGAACGTTTCCCTGTTTGCAAATAGTCTTTGAAGATGTTATCAGTTACGCTGACATGAGGTCATACTGGACTAGAGTAGATCCTAGTTCTATATTATTGGTGTCCTTATAAAGAGGTGAAGATAAGCAGAGACAGAGACAAAAGAAGGATGCCATGAGATGCTGCAGCTGCAAGGCAAGAAACGCTTGGAGCTACCAGAAGCTGGGAGAGACGCATGGAACAGATTCTCCTTCAAAGCCTCAGAAGGAATCAACATGTTTGACACCCTGATCTCAAGCTCCCAGCCTCTAGAACTGTGAAACAATGAATTTCTGCTTTTATTAGCCACTTAGTTTGAGGTATTTTGTTATGGCAGCCCTAGAAAATCAATATACTATTAGATAATCAGATATACATGTAAGTTTGGAGCTCAAAGGCAAGGTCAGAACTGAGGTTCAAATTTGGGAATTGCCGGCAAGTATTTGGCATTTGAAGTCATTGGAATGGATAATTCGCTAACGCAGAAAGTGTAGGTGGAGAAAAGCAGAGGGCCTAGGAGCAAGCCCTGGGGCCCTCCTCCCTTCAGAGTTTCAATAGCAGAGTAGGCAACAAAGGAAACCATAAAAGGGATGTCTCAGGTCAGAGGAAAGCAAGGAAGGGGTGGCATGGATGAGTAGTGAAGAAACATTTTGAGAAAGAAGACACAGTCACCTGTGTCCATGCTGCAAACAAATCGACTATGATGAGGGCAGAAAAGTGGTCATTGAAGCTGGCCTCATGTAGGACCTTAATGAGAGCAGGGAATCAATGAGGTCCATTTGTCTCTGTTGTAGAAATGGCATTTCGTGGTCTGCTTTTGGTCTAACCTCCTCCTCTTTATTGTTAATTCATTTTTTCTTTTTCAAAATCTACTCACATCACTTTCACCCACTTTTACTGACTATTAGAAGCTTCCTGGGGATTGCAGACAGTGAGGTTTCCAACATTCTCACTCACTAGAGCAAGCTACTAGCTTGTGAACCACCTTGGGTGGAAGAGCCTGAGCTTTCTCTCTCCCTCTCTATCCTTTTCCTCTCCCCAGCTCTGCTGCATCCCTCCCTTTTTAGAGATATTTATTCTATGTCTAGAGCTGGTGGTGTGCTTAAGGGATAGAGTTGAAGCCAATAAGAACCGTTGCAAAGAGAGATGGCAGGGGTTAATCCATTGCCAAGTTCTTACTCAATGTCTTCTCTATACCCAGGAACTGACAGGCACTGAGGCCAGTCTGCAGGGTACAAAAATGGAGACAACATGCTGACGGTATCCCATTCATTCCTTCATGAGGTCAGAATTTTAGATAATGATAAATGATATAGCGCAGCTCTGTAGGAGGTTGCAATAATAAAAAAATTCACAGAAGGGAAGACTTCAGGTTGGCTGCGCAAAGTGAGGTGTCAAGGACACATGGGGTTGAGGTTTTTCTGAGACTATAAAACTGTGGAATAGGACTTGCAGAACCAAGACTGCAGGGTGCAGAACCAGAATACAGGAAATTAAACACCATGGAGAACAAAGGATTAGAAACAGAAGGTAGATTAGAACTAAAGAATAAGCCACCTCTTCCTTTTCCCCTAGAAGGAAATTTAGGCAGACAAACTTAGGCATGATGACCAAGAACTTAACAGACTTCTTTCTAAGATAATTATCCCAAAGCTTCCATTTGTGTAACTAAGGGAGCAACTATTAAGTTATATATGGCTTTTCCCTGTTCCCAGCAGGTCTGAAGGGCATAATTTGGAGGGAGGGTGAAGAAGGAAAGGAACTAAACCCTACTCTGCCTAAAGTGACTGCTGACTTCATGGAGAGAGGGCTGCCTGGAAAGTTATGGGCTAGTTAGAAAAAATATTTTCTTTCTTATTAGGTTTGGACTATACATTCTCAGAATAAATGTCCTTGAGAGATGATGATAATGATAAATATGTGTGTGCATGTGTTTGCGTGCTTGTGTCCAACAACTCCAGTGATCTTGGGAGAACAAAGAGGGGTGCCTACAAGTCACACTGGTGGGGAGATGGAGTCTGATCACCAAATGGACCATCCTGCAGGGTTCAGAGCACCAAAGTCTTTCCCCTAGATTAACCATGCATTCTTGCCATGTTGACAGTCAGCACTGATTGACCCCATACAGCCCTTCTTGGGATGTTCCAGACTGAATGACCTCAAATGGGAGAAATATAAAAAGGGGTGGGGGTAAGAGTGGGAGAAGGATCCTGGAGCTGAGATCACTCCCTGGAGATGGGGCTCCCTGAAATATAAAGGGAGAGACCCAACTAGAAGGTCAAGAGCAGTTTTGGGAAGGCAGATAGACTTGAATCTGGAGTTAGGGGAATGAGGTTAGGATCCGAAGCTGGACCTTCTGAAAACTTTAACTCCTTAGAGCTACACTGTCCAATATGGTAGTCATTAGCTACATGTGACTATTTAAATTTCAGCTGATTAAAATTAAATTAAATAAAAATTTAATTCCTCAGTCACACTAGCCATAGCTCAATAGCCACACGTGGCTAGCGGCTACCATATTGGACAGCACAGATATAGAGTATTTCCATCATTGAAGACAGTTCTATTGAACAGTGCTGCCTTAGAGGTTTTCCCCTTGGATCCTTGAGTCTAACTTTTTTAAGTCCCCCCGTGTTGCAATTTCTTCTAACCACTACAAAGTATTTGACACTTAGTGAACCAACTTTGATGGTGTTAGGAAGCCAGAAGTATAGGGAGAGGAAAAGGAAGAGTGGGTTGCCCCACATCCATCTCTCTCCTGGTGCCTAGGGAGAAGGAACAACTTCAGTAGAGGAGACAGTACCCGGGATATCTGGGCGGTGGACTAGAGCAGAGTGAACCTGCCCATGGTCTAGGGCAGGGTGGAGACAAGGGAAGAGCAGAGTTTGATGGGATGGATCAGGAAGGATGGAGGTCAAGACTTCTGCTTTGCCTCCACATGCAGGAGAAGGCTTCTCTAGGAAAGGGGTAGGAGGGAGCTAGGGAATACTTGTGTTTGGGTTACAGACCACAGTGGGTTATAAGAGAGAGGAAGCAGGTGAGAGAAGGCAGAACAGCATAAATGGAATGTGAATCAGAGAAGAATGTAGAACACAGAACTCAGCACAGAACTGTGGAACCAGAAGAGATTAGAAATATAAGTTTCATGTTGATGGAGCTGCCCTATACAAAGGATAAGATTCTTAATCACCAGGAAGGGACAGGATGCCCTGGGCCCTGCTCAGAGAGGACAACGAGGCTGTCTGGACACATTTTCTGATGCAGAATGGATCATCCTGGAAGGAGCATCGCATTGGGAGTGAGAAAATCCTTGCATTTCCATCCATGTCCAGTACCTCCCTAGAAGGTTCTTGGCACAGAAGTCAAGAAGTAGGTGGCCACAGCCCAGCCCACACACTGTGGCTGGCCAAGGCCACCCGGAGTGTGGGCATTGGGGGCTGCGGGAAGAGGGTGGAGGAAGGCAGCAGGGAACTGCCACCCCTTTTAAGCTGCTCCTCTCCTCGTTATTAATTGTATGAGCTGTGAACCACACTTCAGTGGGTCTTCAAATAGAACCAGTCAGCAGAACTTAATTAAACCTGAGCCTTTTAGCACATCTATCATAAGAAATATACAATTTACACAGGTGATTAGGCCACCTAATTATAAACTGATGTTTCTCCCTGCTCAGCTCCCTACCCTGATTGCTCCTCCTCTGCTGTCTGCTAATTGGCACTGGCTGCTCAGCTAAAGGTCCAGTGGGACTTGGCCACGGGGTGACATCTCTGGGAAACGGGCCTTGTCCTTGTCCTCCTAAGGCAGTGAGTTCTCCCTGGAGGCGATCAGGGGCACCCTCTAGAGCCCCTCGGCAGGCTGGGTGCACCTCCTGACACGTGAGAGGTGGGGTACGGACAGGCGTCTAGACAGGGAAGAACTGTTTGTTGTTGGCTTCTCTCCGTAGTCGGGTCTCAAACTTCCTCCGGCCCTCCACTGCCCACAGGGGACAAGGCAAGCTCCTTCGCTTGTCATTCAAGGCTCTTCTACCTTTCTAGCATTACCTGCTTCTCTCCCTAATCCTCACTTCTGATATTTCAATCCCACCTGACCACTTGTTGTAGTTGTTAGCTGCTGTCGAGTCGGCCCCGACTCTTAGTGACCCCATACACAATGGAATGAAATGCTGCCCAATCCCCATGATTGGCTGCAGATCACACCATTGTAATTCATAAGGTTGTCACTGGATGCTTTCCAGAACTAGATAATCAGACCTTTCTTCCTAGGCCATCCTAGTCTGGAAGCTCTGCTGAAACCTGTTCAGCATCATAGTAACACACAAGCCTCCACTGACAGATGGATGGTGGCTATGTGTGAGGTGTGTTGGCTGGGAATTGGACCTGGGTCTCCTGCATGGAAGGCGAGAATTCTACACTGCCCCCG